ATTATCAAACAAACAATGGAAAACATTTCCTCTTAATTCTTTTATCAAATTTTGACTTTATTGTTGAAATTACAAAAATATTTTTTATTTTTGGTTTATTGAAATTGTTTTTATTTAAATATACAGAGTGTTCTACAATTCCAGTTCTGTATTTTTGGTAATAAATTATAGATTTTAAAAAAATTGTTTGTTTTGCATAATGCTTGCATAAAGCTTTCTTTTCTCGATTTCGCTTGCAGCGTTGCCAAATTATTCAAACTCTTTGAAAAGCTCGATTATTTAAAATAAAACAAATATGAGATTTTGAGGTGCAGTTTTTACTTCATTTTATCATACAGGGTGTTCACCATAATTCCCAAAAAAAATAAACAATTTTGTAGTACACATTATTAATAAAACCCCCTTCAAATTATAATCAAATCAGCGACCAACCCGTATTTTTTTTTGTAAATTTTTTTCCACAAAGTTTATTTTAGCGCAAAATATTTAACTCCCTTTGGTATTGATACACCTGTGTGTGTGTTGTAAAACAACACACACTGTGTTTACAATTGCCATACTTGAATCGCATAAAGTCAATATGTGTGTTTGTCGACCGCAAAAGAAAGCAAATAGTTGTTTCATTGAAACAATAAAAAACCATCAATTAATAGAGAAGATGTACAACAATAGACAAAGCCAACGTGATTGAATGAGATTCTGTTTGTAGTAGTTGGGCCCTTCAAAGTACTCGCCAAAGGGATGATTATTACAGACGACCAATTTGCATATTGGCCCAATTTTTGCCCACTAATTGCACTAAATCAAGTTTAATTAATTAACTTCGACTACTTTATTATGCACATAATAAAATTTAATGGGAATCGGTGTTAAACTTTAACGACTTTTCACAAATCTTAACTCCTGAGCCCGGATCTGGCTATAATTCAGTTGCTAGGCAAAGTAGACTAAACTGTGCAGATTTTTCAATAGTTGCTTGGTAACGATTGTGTGAAAGCTTGTCATTTACTTTGACGCTTAGCGACGAATAATAATAACAGATTTTCTATTTTTTTTGTGTGTGAAATTAAGTTAAATTGTGCACAAAGAGAAATTTTGTGAAAGTTTGGTCCTGTATCCGACATATTATTCGTAATTCGAGTGCAGAGCTTTGTGGCTTCAAACGTAAATTTTTGCCCAAAACTAATTGTTTAAATAGAGCTCAAAGTGTTTGTTTATTTAAGATCGTTTGATATGATATTTACTCAAAAAACAGTTTTATTTCGGAGAAGAGTCGAAAATAAATTAATCGAGTTTAAAACAATGAGTCAACATCTGCGTATGAAAAATTTCGCGAATCGTAGTTTTTTCATTTATCAGAGAAAATGAATTTGCCAAATCGCCCGGGAAAACCATCAATTTTCGCACTAATTAGACTAGCAAATGGGAGTTTGAAAATTGAACGTAACTTTTTTTAATTTTAATTTGGGGGAGATTGATGGGCGCGCAAGTTGAAAATGGGTTTATTTGGTGGTTTACTGACCATAGTTTGCCCATGTCCCATTTGGGGTGCCCATATTTCGCGAGTTCACCACCACGGCCGCGACTTCGTCTGGTCAAAGACGATCCGAGGACTGAGTCCTGAGTCCGCGCTCAGAATTTGAGCTTGGGTTTGCGCTCGCGCCGAGCTTTTTACCGGAAATTTTACGAAATGAGGGTTTATGTATATCGTGGACTTAACTAAACCCAAGACCGGATGTTGGTGTAATTTAATATGGTTTTCTGGGGTTTGTTGTGACAAGTTTAACACAGCTGGAAGTCATTCAAAGTGTACAAAAAATTATTGTCGGGTTATTTTTAACAATAGTGTGAAGTTTTCATTCGGAAGTCACAAATCAGGATCAGGATTTAATAAATGGAAGTTTATAATTGCTTGATTTGTTTGATAATAAATAAGTTGGAGTAGCGTAAACAGTTTTAATTTTATTTTTATGAGTCACTTAATTTAAGACTATTTGTGTTAAGCAAATATAATCGTTGGTTGTAATCTTATTTGGTGATAAAAGTGATAATGTGACGCTGAAATTAAAAATATTTGTGGCAGAGTCTCTTTATATTGAAACTCTTTTTTTGTGATTTTTTTAACTTTCCACAGATTTAGTGTTTTGCTTTTTTATTTTGGTTGGGGCAAAGAGGAGTTTTAATTTAAAATTTAGAACTTATTTAATTTTCTAAAATCCTGTACTTTAAAGAAATTATAATTGTCTAGAAATAATTTTTCAAATTTTTTAGTTATTTAGAAAAATGTGTTGAAAAAATTGTCCGGCGCATCCACCACTTTTCCTGTTGTTATTCGAGGGTTAATTTGTAATTTCGTCCTTGACCTATTTATTGTAAAAGTTACAAATTACATCCCATTTATCAGATTTTTGTTACAATTAATTACAGTTGGATAACCACCGTTTTCGTCGATGTTTCATTGGTTATTTCTCACCATTTTCTAAACCAACTAAATGACCAAACATTTTTTATTTACTTTTACCACAAAAATCACTTTTCTGATATTTAAAAACCGAAATTTCAACCGTTTTCAAAATGACGCAATGAAACGTTGAATTTTACATTTTTATTTAATGCAACAATGTAATAAAAATCATTTCAAATTCTTATGGACAGTCAAGGTCAAGTCTAAAAATCCCCCATTTATAATTTCAAATCGAGTTGCCTAGTAACTAAACTGTCAAAACAGTAAGGTTCCGTTTGACGGATGAATTAACACAGTTGGCTTCCTCTAAGATGGCCAAAAACGCCAATTTAGTGTTGGTACAACTGTTTGTTATTTTCAAACCAAATTTCACTTTTCTTCGACTCAGAAATGACGCTCCGCTGTTAAAAATTGACGCATTGGCGAAATTATTTCACTTGCAGTAATACCAACCTCGAAATCAGTCAGTCGTACCAACAATAACGACCCACAAGCCCGCAAGAATTTGAAACAAGTTGTGATACTTTGCAACGCCCAAATCTGTTATAATTCTGTTTTAAAAAATTGAAATTTCCTCACATTATAAAATTTATTTTGGGGTCATTTTATTTTAATCTGTTTTTARTAAATCGTGACGTTTTATTTWTCATCCCGATTTTTATTCAACAAATTTCTGAATTAAATTTTCAATARTTTTAAGTGATTAGGAATAAATTGTCTTAGTTAAAAAATAAAAAACACAAATTAATTTAACATTAACTATTACGAGAATAGTTTTGTACACATTTCTGGCCGAATTTTATATAAATTCACCTCAACGTTTCTTCAAA